GCCTATACTAGGGTGCCAGATCCTGAGCGTGCCCCGGAGATTACAGAAATAAATAGGACGGAGCCTTTTTTCTTGTTTTTCTTTATTTCTCTTTGGTTTTAGAGGCTTGCCAATTCTGGGTTGTGTTGAAAAGGAAATTTCGTGCACCCAGTCAACAGTTTAAAATATTTTTAAGTCTTCCTCCTCTGGCACTCACTTTCCCTGTGTAGACAGGACACCTTGCTCGTCTTCATTCTTAACTTGACCATAGAGAGCAGCCCCTACAGAAGACAAATGTATCCATGTTAGATTTCCTTTGCTACCACTGAGTGGTCCAGAAGAAATTCACTGCTGGTTACAAGTCTTCTGGGCTTTTCTGCAGAGTGGGATTGGTTTTTATTTTACCATAAGTAATAGTCTATTAAATGAACAGTTGCTAGAGGAGAAACTACATCTAGATATAGAATTATATTCTTGTCAGCAGTACGTTTTCATAATAGCAATGGGGGAGAAAAAAGATTCTCACCAGCAGCTGAAACATACTAATATCGAAGAAATTCCTGTAAACTGTGTTCTCTGCTGCTTCCTTTTGTTTGTTTGTTTTCAGAGCAGATGGGCTTGTTTGCTTTTTGCTTAAACATTAATCAAAAATCAATTTATGGCTATGTAAGTGGCATTAGATAATTCTCATTCTGACTACAGTAAATAATATCTATTTGTTCATGTTAGATAAGTCTGGGTGGCGGTGAAATGTAAAATAGAATTACATGAGATATGACATATGGCTATGTGTTTTATAAATTAATGCTTTTATGCATGTGGGAGGAGAAGTAATTTAGTTTACTGACAAAAGAAAAAGCAAAGGAAATTCCAGAGATAGAGCAGGATAGCAAGTCTAAATAAATTTGGAAGATGAAGAGAATATGATAATTTAGTTACATCTTTTTAACAAATCATCCCAATTTTTATGTTGGGATAAGGGGCAGAAGAAAAGGGATATTCTAAGTGCTGAACATTTTAATGTTCTCCAAAGGTGCTCTTATAACTCTTCTGCTGCCCCCTCAAAAAAAGTAATTGGGGTGGGGGGCAAGTCACTGTAGATGAACACATTTTTCCCCCAAATCCTTCAGCAGGCATGTCTGTCTGTAAATAAGTTGCTTCATCTAGTCACAAACATTTCCTTGCTTTGAGAAAATAAAAAATTTGGGGCGCCTGGGTGTCTCAGTCGTTAAGCATCTGCCTTCGGCTCAGGTCATGATCCCAGGGTCCTGGGATCGAGCCCCACATCAGGCTTCCTGCTCTGCGGGAAGCCTGCTTCTCCCTCTCCCACTCCCCCTGCTTGTGTTCCCTCTCTCGCTGTGTCTCTCTCTTGTCAAATAAATAAATAAAATCTTAAAAAAATAAAAAAATTGTTTTGCTGAGCAATATATATATAATATATTCTATAGAGAAAGAGATATACACTCTTTTTCAAATATCTAGAGAAAGTGAGAGATTATTGAAATTACTATTAATGCTCCCTTTTTCATAGATCTAGATCTGTTATTTGCAAGAAATCTGTTTTTAAATCAATCAATGGGAACTTTTTATTTCTTCCCTAAGATTCATTTAGCCTTGAAAAGGCCAAAAGTTTAATGAAGCTTCTAAATGCCAATCTTTTCTTCCTTCTATAGAGAATGTACTCCAGCTATAATTACATTTGCATTGTTTAAAATATTAATTCTACAGCCAGCCCTTTGAGATAAGCTGAGAAACTTGAAGGCATCATCAGGCCCCCTCCTGACCCTCTCCACACACCACATGCTGATTCATCAAAGGATTTCATGGGAGGGCTGGATTCCCCCCCACTAGCTTTATTGAGGTATAATTGACAAATGAAAATAATTGACCACCTTTCCAGGGGGTACAAGTTGATGTTTTGATATGCGTGTACACTGAGGAATGATGCACAATTAAGCTCATTAACATATCCATCACCTCATTTAAGGTGAAGTTACCATGAATATTTTTGCCTAGTTAACCTGGGAAGGATCTGGACAGTGCCCAACACTTTGCAAAGGCTCCTGGTATCTTATATACAGAAGGGTCTCTGAGAGTAGGGAGAAGCATAATACATACACTTCTAATACTTTCTCAATGTGTGTTATGAACAGAATACACATTCTGACTTTCCCTGTGAATTGTGCCTAGGACTTTATTTTTCATTCACCCGAATTCAGGATCAGGGCTGGCGTGATAACCGTTGAGGAGCTTTGTGTGTATGTGCAATTTGGAACTTGAGTCAGTCTGTCTGTCCAACCCCCCCATCCCTATATATTCTCTCTCTCTACCCCCCCCTTTCTCTGTCTTTCTCATGTGCAGCCTTTCCTGCCAGTTGAGATGAGCCTGTGCAGAACTGTATTTGCAATTGACAGGCAACTCACTGTTCTACTGCAGCTGAATCATCACTTACCTCCATCAGTTTTTGAACACCTCACCTAGTGATCTTGGTGGGGAAATTACAGTGATTAATGCTCCAACTCTTGTTTGCCCATAAGTGTTCCAAAGTAGTATTTTTAAAAGCTCTCCTAAGATATTTTTTTTCTCTCCTAGTAGATACAGTGAATATTAGATGTCCCCTAACTGATGAAATTTCTGTACTATAAAATTGAGTTGGCAGCTTTACAAAATAAAAGTTTAGAGGTACAAGCTTGATTAAGGCTCACAATTTCACAACATTCTTGGGTTGCCTTGCCTGTTTTTTCTTTCTTTCTTTCTTTCTTTCTTTCTTTCTTTCTTTCTTTCTTTCTTTCTTTCTTTCTTTCTTTCTTTCTTTCTTCTTTCTTTCGTATTTTTCCTCTATTTTCATGTGACTGTCATCGGTAGCTGTTTCCTTTTAATCTTTGTTTTTTTCTAAAAAACGTATTGCTGATTTTTCTGTACCTTCTCTGATATCAACCAAAGAAACTTTCTTTGGTTATATATACTTCCCCCCACCATCTCATTGCCATTAATATCAAAGTGTGCTCTTTCAAATGGCTTATAAAAATTTTAAATTATACCAGTCCCCTAAGCCATGCATAAAAAGCAGCCCGAGTCCATGTGCTGACGATCCATTTGTAATTTGTGTTGTTCAGCAGCTTTAACATCCTCCGCTAATTCCTTGGTGCTTCTGCTAGCTGATAAAGTTATCAAGGCATCACTGATGTGTTCATGCTTCCCTGGGCAGTGGCCGGTGTGGAGGCACAACAGGGCAGATTTGCTAAATAATAAATGAGGCCAGAGAGAATTGAAGGGTAATGTAGTTAAGCATAATCTTTACCTTTGTGCTTATAACAAACCACAGTAGGAAGAACTCAAGGACAGGAAAAGTTAGGATCTGTTCCCAGAAGTGGCACTAACAAGTTGGCTGACTTTGGGCTGGCCTGTAGGTCGGTTTCTTTAGTGCTACCACAGGGTGTGACACCAGGGGTGCTGTCTAGTCTCTGGGTCACACAGCCAGGGTTTTTACAGGTGGTCTTGACTGCTGGGCTCAGAGACCCACTCTAGCAAGAGTGGCGCTACTCCCCTTAATGCTGCCCTAAAACCGTGTCTGAAGCCACTGGAGAACCGCCATGGCCCCCCACCCAAGATTAATTTTAACAGTGTAATCTATCAGTGCAATCCAGGGAAATGACACCAACACTTTCTCAGGAGACGTTTAACTAAATGTGTGACTGCTCTGGCTTTGGCTTGGCATAAACGAAGGACAGCCTTGACCAGGGATATGGCCATAGACTACCAATTATTATACCTGCTCATAAGACAAAGACACAACAGCCCATTGTCTACAGGGAGGTGTCTAAGGATAGGGCCCCAAACTACATCAACTCCATGACGCTGGGCTGATACACTAAGAGTGTTGGACAGTGTACTACTGTCAGGGAAAGACAAGCATTGGGACCAAACAGACCTGCTCGCATTTGAATCTGCGTTCTACCACTGATTTGCATCACTTGCTCCTTGTCTGTAAAATGGAAATGATCGTACCTGTTGCCCAAGATGGACGTGAGGAGAAATTAAGCCAGACAAACTCTGTAACTGCCCAGCATGCAGTAAATGCTCACATATAGCCAAAGAAGGTTGGAGGATTTCTAAAATTTGATGATGCTAACCTTTGAGGTGCATTTATTTGAGATATGTGATGTGAGACCTTTCTATTTCTGGGCCTAGAATTGTCTGGTCTTACATCATGTGGGGATTTTTATTCCCTCCTCCCCCACCTGGCCCCCTGTGCCATTTTCTAAGCACCACCATTGCAGGTTGCATTTTCCTGCAGACTTGGAGGTGAAGTTAGGAATGCAAAGGATTTACTAAAGAGCAACGCTTGCAGAAGGAAGAGAGGAAGAGGAGATGGTGGATGTGTGCCGGAGGTGAGGGGGCATCTAACCAGGATTCTGATCTGACAGAAGGTCTGCTGGCCCTCAAGGAGCTCAGAACAAAGAGGGCCCCTTGAGGAGTCCCTTGTTGGATGGATATAGTGACCCTGCGCAGCTGGACAGTAAGTCGTGTCTGAGGAGGGAGCCAAGTCATGCGCCTCTGTGCCCACGCAGACCTGATGTTTCCAGGTGGGACTTCTAGATGTGAAAAATACATGTTTTGGTTATTTTTAAAGGGACATCTCTTTATAAAACATATGGCTATGGGAAAGGAAACTGTTTCTTGACTTGTAAAATACCAACAGCCTTGTAGTAATCACCTTATGGGAGGTAGAGCCCCTTACCCCACGATTTACCTGCTCCCACTCAAGTGCCAATCTCCTTGGATTTTGGTTTCAATATATGCACTGCTACTGTATTACAGTTTAGCCAAGATATCTTCAGGCTTTCAGGAAGGCATGAAATCAGGTATTCATGATTTTGAGGTCAGTCCTTAATTTTTTTTTCTGCTTATTTTCCCTAACCCCCCTGAATCTGCGGGATCCAAAGCTTAAGGATAGGGCCCCAAACTATATCAACTACAACAAGATGGCATTCATCTTCTCTTTGCCAGAGTCCTGCATCAACCACTCAAGCAATATGCCCCATGCCAGTTGACTTGCTTGTTGTTGTCAATGCCAACTCAAAATGGGTTACTACGATGGTTGATTAGGAACCTATCCTCTATTTATTGTTAAGAAATTCAATCTTTGATTTTTTTCCCATCCCATTGTATTTTTCTAAAGACACAGAATAGAATGTCCTCTGCTAGAAACAAAGAGTTTGGCCATAATACAACCCTATAATATGCAAGTAACTTGTTAGAAGATATTATAGAAGAGAAGACTCTATTTTCATTGAAAACAAAAAGAGAAAATACCTAAGAATTAACAAGAAAATGTACCGCTATTTTTTAAAGACAACCTGAGTAAATGGAAAGACATACCACATTTTTAAACAGAAATAGTGAACATTATCAAGATGTCGGTTCTTCATAAGTTAATTTATAAATTTAATGTGATCCCAGTACCGTCAGGGTTTTCTTTTTTTCCCAGTTAGACCAATTCTAAAGTTATCATGAAAAAAAAAAAAAGATAGGCAGGAAAACTGTAGAAGAACAACGTGGAGCCCTAGCCTTACCATATATTAAAATAGTCCATAGAGTCTTAATTAAAATAGTGAGGTGTACTGGTTCATGAAGAGACACGCAGTGGAACAGAGTATAGAGTCCAAATACAGACACAAGTATGTATGGAAATTTAGTATTTGATAAAGGTAGCCTCTGAAATCAGTGGGATAAAGATGAATGCTTCACTTACTGGCATTGGGGCATGTGTAACCATTTGGAAAAGAAATCAAGTTGGGTCCATCCATCATACCATACACCAGCTTAAACTCCAAATGGATTCAAGGTAAAAATGTAAACGACAAAACTATAAAAGTCCTAAAAGAACATATGGGGGAATTCCTTTATAACCCTGGGGTGGGGAAGGCCTTTTTGGTTGCAGCACATAACCCAGAATCCAGAAAAGAGCATATTCATAAGAATTGAATATACTATTTAAAAAACAAAAAACTTCTGCATAGCCAAAGATTATAAAGAAAGATAAATGTCAAACTAGGAAAGATATATGCAACTTCTGTCACTGACAAAGAGCAAATCTTCCTACTTAAAACACACACACATACACACACCATAGCTCCTAGAAATTGATAAGGGAAAGACTCACAATTCCAAAGGATTTGGGGGTGAAGCATTGAACAGATAATTCACAGAGAAGAAAATACACATACCTATTAAACATGCGAAAAAATGTTTAATCTCACTTGTAAAAGAAATGGAAATTAAAATTACACTGAGATACCATTTTTTACCTCTCATACTGGGGGAGGAAGAAGCCCAGTGAAATGTTTGATAACACATTCTGATGGCAAACCCCTGGGAAAATAGCCCCAAGTTGCTGAGAGGGCTACAAAATGGTATCACATCTGTGGAGGGGAATTTGACAGTATCTCTCAAGATACACACACACACACACACCCCCTCAGACTCAGCAACTTTAGGGAAGGCATTTACCCAGCAGATATACTTGCTCACATACAAAATGGTAATTGTATGAAATAATTCATTACACCATTGTTCGATAAGGCAAAAGATGGGAAATAACCCAAATATCCATCATTAAGGAAACCGATAACTGAGGGCAAGGACTCCCAAACTTTGATGCTCATTAGAATCATATGGGGATTTTTTTTTTTTTTTTTAATTTCAAAGTTCAGGTCACACCCCAGACCAATTAAATCAGTCTCCGGAAGGTAGGACACAGATTTCATAGGTTCCCCAAGTGATTCCAATGTACAGACAAGTTTGAGAACCACTAAATTAGGGTTTATCCTTCCAGTGGAATAATATTTAGCCGTTAAATTAGAAATCTCCATGATACAGTAAGTGAACAAAATAACAAGCAGAACAGTGTGTACAAATATCATCTGTGTAAAATGGAGAAATAAAAATACTTGTATTTGGCAAAGAATCCCAAGAAGGACGAGTCTGTGCCGTCTGGTAGATATGCTTCTTTTTTCATTTTTGAGCCATGTAGTTATTATACCAAAAAATTTTAGTTGATGATAAGAGCTAAAGCAGGGCTAGTTCTTATTATTGAAGGTACTAAGTTTGTCAGTAATAGTGTACCCTTTCTCACCATTAATCTGTATCCATTTGGGAGTATATAGAGGATGGCGCACATAACGTGTTACACTGGGCACAGACAGGGTCCATGAGTCCCAGGTGGGGGAACCCTGGGATTCTCAGAGCACCTGAAACTCCTTGGGTCAAGTGAGGCCACAGAACTTCATCCTGTCTTCCTCTTGTATGTTTACCAGAGTGTCAGCCTTTAGGGTATTTACTGAAGCCCTCCCAAAAAGCTTGTCTTCCCTTTACCTGGACATGTTGCTGAGTGATTTGTTCTCAGTTGACCTTTATTGTGTTCAAAATTGATTTGGAACTTCTGGTATGGGTCAGGCATTTCTGTAGGTATACTGAAGACGTGGTGAGTACAGCAGATGAAAAATTCCTGTCCTAACTGGAGCTGGTATGCCAGGGACGGGAGAAGACAGGCTACAAAGCCAACAAGTGGATAATCAGATAAGAAGGATGATAGTTAAATCTCATGAAGAAATTAAACAGATCTGTGTGATAGTGGTCAGCAGGTGGGCACGGTGGGGCGACATCTGAGCTGTGACCTGAAGGTTGAGAAGCAGCCAGCCGCTCTTAGACATAGAGGAACCTTCAAGAAGAAAAAGCAGGGAGGGGCCCTGTGGCGGAGACGAGCCTGCAACACTGCATGTGTCCATCTGGAGACCAGAGTGTACTGGCTCTGCAGATGCCTAGGGGCACCACTTTGTGAATCTGCTTTTCTGCCCCTGGTTCTTCCAGCAAATCTTGCCAGTTGTGGTCCTATAGTACGTTCTGGCAAGGGAGGAGAGGATGCACAGAGGCTTCACTCTGCAAAATGCTCTAGGGGAACAGGGAGTGGGGTGGAGCTTGTGGAAGGTCTGCCCAAGGTAGGAAGTGATTTTTAAGGCAGAAGGGGGATTTGCTGAGCAGAGAAGGCAGAAACGGATCTAACTGGCAAAGGAAGCGGCATGAGCAAGAACAGCTGTGTCTGTGGAAAGAGCCTCTGAGGGATGCGCAGGGGCAGAGCTGCCGGGGTCTCTGATCCCGGGGCTTGGGGTGCGGGGGGCGGACATGTTGGCAAGGAGCCAGCAGGAGAACATGAAGAATTGGCCAGGGAGAGGGTGGGCAGGGAGGGGATAAAGACCACATGCACGTGTTTGGCAATTCTGGAGTGTGTTTATGGTGGGCCTGTATCTCCAGTAGATACACAAGTCAAAATACGACACAGACAGCCCCTGACCTCAGGAAGTTCAGGGTCTACTGAGGTGGACCGGCCTGCAACCAGAGTCCGAATACAGTGCTGGAAGTTCAGTGGTGTTGACATAAGTGCTACAGACTTCAGAGCAGTTCCGCAGGGACACGGGAAGCGATGGAGAACAGTGGCCTCTCCCGGGCAGGCAGGGGTAAGGCCTAGAAAGCAGAGGGCACAATCTGAGTGAAGGGTGTGTGTGTGTGTGGCTGGTGCAGGAACCTGTGACAGGAACAGACTGGCTGGAGGGAGGGGTGCTTGGAAGGAAGGAGGCCGTGCGCATGTTGTCCGGGGCCAGGCCAGAATGTCCAAAGGGGACTAATTCCATTCTGCAGGCTTTTTACTTGAAGGGCAAGAGGTTTCCCCGGGGACTACTTGGAGTGAGGCTTGATTGGAGCACACAGACACCATAGCCTGGAGGAGAGTGTGTGCTTCGGGGTGAAGAAGAGGACCCCCCCGCCCCCCGGCCAGTTTGCCCTAAGCTCCATCCTGCAAGGAGTCTTTTGTATTTTTTTTTTTTTTTAATGCTTTAAACTTTGACCATCTGGCTCCCTGGCCATGGATGACAGCATGGCTTATCATCAGTGTGGAGTCGGTGGGGAGACCAGTTAAGTGGAGATCCGTCCTGGGTCCAGCTCCCTGGTCCCCTTCTCTGGCCTTCCCTGGCCTCCATGGGCACAGACAGGGGCCGCTCTGGAATCTGAGGGAGCCTGTTTGTGTCGACCTCTGAGGTGATGATGCACCTCCTGGAGGCAGTCCTGGGAGCTGCCTCACTTGACAGCAGTGCCTCCATGCTGGAAGCTGTAGATTTTCACGCTGTGGTCCCGAGAATGGTGAGGCCAGAATGAGGAGTGGATTGTGATTCAAGTCAGACCAGATGGGGAATTACCTTCGATTGCGGTATCCTGGGTGAACTACACCCTCTATGGAAAATGCAAGTTAACCAATTATTTCTTGTCAAGTGAGCTTAATGCCACCGTCTCAAGTTTCTTTTTATACATGCTGCGGAACACAGGCATCTTCGAGTGAGCCAGCTCGAGAAACTTGCGATGAATCGGTCTAACAGGGCATCTGATTCACCTCTGTGCCACTGACGGTGTATTGTGTAAGGAAACAATTTTTAGTCCAGGTATTTAAATCAACTTCTGAAAAGCCAGAACTAAAATCTAACGGGGGGGTGGGGATAGGCTGGCAGGAAGGAGGGTCAACTAAATTGGCTCTCACTCCGTTCGGAGAGTTTTTAAACCCAAAGAAGAAGGGGAGTAAGAATCGTGGCAACAAAACCTTAACGGTTTTGCACAGAACAAAAATGATGTGAAGCTGCAAGTCAGCAGTTCTCGCCCAGGGGCTCTAAAGGACGCCCACTCGCGTTTGCTTTTCTGGGCGGCCCCTCGTCGTCTGTCTCCCCGCTGCGGGTTCCTTTTGTCTTGGGTGCTGCCCCCAGCTCCGGGTGAGGGCGAGCGAGCTGGCATCCCTGCGCCCTCCCCGCCGCGGTGGACCAAGGTTGTTTACTACTTTCTACTCCGAGTAGCACGCCAATCACGAGGGCCCGCCCTCCCTGCCGTCCAATCAACTCATTGGGAAAGTCCACCTTTCTGCGGGGCCCGGGCAGCGACTGGCTGGGGCAGCTGTCAGTCAAGCGGGCATCCCGCAAGGATGCAGCAGGAGTATTAGGGACGCGATCACCAGAGCGGAGGAGGAGTAACCTTCCCCATAAACAAGCGGTGCCCCCCCCCCCCAGTAAAGGGGGGGGGGGGGGGCGCTTTGAAGCACTACCCAGCCCTGGGGCCCCACTGGAGCGGAGCGGGCTGAGCGCAGAGTCGGGGAATCCCTCCCTCCCTCCTGCCGCCGCTGCAGTTGTAAACACGTTTCCCTCCATGTCTGTTTTCCCTTCTCTCTAACAGTGGCCATTACAGGCTCCTGTTTACCAAAATCCTGTAGGGCAGAAGCATCTTCCCGGGGCCTCGTCCTCTACTGCCCGCGCCTCCCTGCCCGTATTCTGGCTTTTTTCTTTTCCACCCTCTGGTCCGCAGAGTAAAGGAGGCTGGGTTGTGATCAGACTTGTTTTCCTTTTATTCTTGTCCATGTGGGACAAGTCATGCTTTGTCAACATGCACCATTTTCTGCGGAGATCGTGCTTCCTTTTTAAATTGCGTGCATGGACTGCATTGATTTTGGTTAGGAACGCTGCAGCCCAAAGAGGCGCCTCTCTGGAAGGGCTGGGTGGTTTTTTGTTGTTGTTGCTGTTTTTGGACACATGGAATGCTATTTTAATTCTGCGTTTTCTTCCAAGATGGGTTTTGAATCCTTTACCCTCTGGTAGCTTTGAGATATGTACACACCCACCCCACCCCGCAAAAAAAGGGCAGCATTGTGTTGAACTAAATGTTTTTGTACCTTCTTCTGTGATCTGAATCAGGTTTCCCATTTCCAGCTGCACAATGTGGTTGTATTCAGTGTGATAGGGGCGTAGTGGACATGAATTATTTGCGACAGGGCTGCCTGGAAGATGCGGAGCGGAGTTTGCGTGGCCTGGAGCAGCTCCAGTGTCTGAGGCGCCACTGTTATGTTACACAGGCTCCAAGCAGGAAGCGCCGGCAAAATGGCAAAATACAGCATGTGGCATTCGGTTCAAAAAAAAAAAAAAAATGCCCTTTTCTAGGAGCTGCTATTCCATATGACATCCAGTCTTATTTAGCTTTCCTTTTTAAAAGAAAGGAAAAGTTATCTATGAAGGTGGCTTGTTTGGGGTATTTTGTGAGAAGCCTTGTCAAGAAAAAAATGATGATTTTGAGGTTCTGGCTTGCTGAGTGGAGGTTAGGCCTCCTTCGTGTTCTGCATCACAGTCGCAGAGAGAGAAAGTACTGCTTCTTGATTTATAGGAATTGCAGGAATATACCCTGGAGCTGCAACCATGAGGAAGAGATGGAGTTTTTGGCCCATCTCAGCCCTGCAGCCTCGGTACTTTTTCAGCCCTGGGGCTTTGGAGATGCTTCTGGGGAATGAAAAGGGGAAAAGATACATTGCAAGCATAAATGTAAGGAATGGCACGTGGTGGCCAGGATTTGCAAGAGCAGCTTCCAGACCTACTTAAGCCCCAGGAAACATGTCCTATTTCAAGTTAGCCACCACATCTGATTTGGATTTCCCTCCCCCCACCCTACTCTTTCTCTCTCTCTCTCTCTCTCTCCATCTCTCCTTTTCTTCCTCCAGTTGTCCATTTATACTCTCTCCCAGGCTAGGGATATTTTTTTCCAAGATGATCAAATTAACGTAAATCATGGGGTTATTGTTTGAATGGATTCAACTGTCACTTCATGAGTCGAGAGAAATGGCTCTTCTGAGTCAAGAGGTGACCGCCGGTGAGGGACAGGGCCAGGGCCGGGCAGAGTTCTGCCTCAGGGCCCTGAAATTCCTGGTGGCATCATCATAACACCTTGTGAAGTTATCAACTAAGCAACTGATTGAAGGCAGAACACACTATGAGGAAGTGTGGTAGACTGACTTCTGCTCTGGCTCCTGCACCCCCCGCCCCATTAGCTCAGAGGAGGGTGGGGTGGGGGAGTTTCACCTCTGTGAGCTTCGGTGTCCCCCTGCACAAGATGGGAATAGTGGTGTCTATGTGATATTGTAAGGACTCAAGGAAAAACCTTAAGAAGTGTGCCTGCCTCCGTGCTGAGCCTGGCTTTCTGTCTGTCTCTGGTAAGTCAACTCCTGGCTCGCGTTTTGGTGGCCCTTCACAGGAGTCTCCTACTTCTCAGCACGGCCTGTTGAGCTCATCTTTTGCTGGGTTCCTGCGTCACCTGCTCTTTTCTGGCCAGGTCAGCCTGCTCATTTTTCCATGCCAACAGCCTCTACATGCCAATAAGTCACGTCTAAATAACCAAAGCATGTTTCCCAGCTGGAGAATCCAGGGCAGCCCGGTCTGGGAGCCAAGTGGCTTTCTCCAGTTCAACTATGTGGGGGAAGAAGAGCCCAGCTGCTCAGCTCCTGGGTGACCTGAGACATGTTTTGAATCACCTGGTGAATCTCCTGAAGTCACTCCTTTCTTCCCCACCCTCATGTCGGGTACCCCCTTTCTGCCGCACATGACTGGGCTTTGAGCTCTTTGCCATCTGACTTCAGCCTGCCTTTGCCTCCGCCTCCCCCCGCCCCACCCCTGGCATGTGCCTGTGAGTCTGCCAGCCACCAGACTGCTCAGTGCTCCTGTGACTACGTGGAGTCCTCACGTGGCCTTAACTTAGCTGGCCTCCCCAGTTCCAGACAGCCCCTGCATAGGCCAGGGTGCCCCATCTTCTGGAACCAGCTTCCCAGACTGCCCCTCCTGAGACCATGCCCCCTGCCCCGCACTAGCTCCTCGCCTTCTTTTCTTGTAAGACCTGTTGTCCCTCACGTGTGGGGGCACTGATGTATTCTTGTGGTATGTCCTCTGGTCTTATGTTCACCTTTTAGTTCCTGTGGGTCCCCCAGTCCTGGGGAGAGGCAGTGTTACATAATGGCACCCTGGGCTACGGAGCCAGACACGCTGGGACCTTGGACACATGACTGACCCTCTGGGCCGGTCTTTCCTCATCTGTAGAAAGGGGCGATAATACCTTTCCCTTGGGGGAGCTGTGAGGATTAACTGTGCTTGGCGCCGAGTCTGTGCCTAGTAGGCACTCAGTAAGTGTGAGTTATTGTAACTGTTTTTGTTTTTATCAGCCATAGATAGACATTTCACCAACTTTACAGGACCAGTGAGAGAATAACTGAGAATTATACACAGTCACTTAGTAGGGAATCCATTAATGTTCCTTTACCTTTCTTCCACAAGGACAGGTGCCTTTTATTATATGTAGGCTCTTTTGGGTCCCATTCGGCAAACCCTCTGTAAATATTAAAAATAAAATTGCTCTTTCTATGTGTAAATTTCAGAACCTGCTTCTTTATCGATAGTGACGTTTTTTTTTTTTTATGAAAACAAACACTTAATAGGTCAGACTTCTAGAACCTCTAATTTGAGGGCATTGGGGCCAAACAAGAAAGTCTGAGCCCCTGAGTTGTGTGACCAACACCTGGGGCCCAATAGATCCTTACTGAATCATCATCAAGTGTGTTTTTAAAGTAACAGGGTTTGGGGGCAGAAGTTCTGAGTAGTGAGAAAAATGATAACATTTAAAGTGCTGCCAACTCCTCCCGGTGCCATGCAGCTGGTGCCATGCAGCGTGGGGAAGCAAGCATGAAGGGGCCAAAGCGTAAAGCTGCTATATAGGGGGCAGGGTCACTGTGATTCCCCACCGCCACTGTAGGGGAGGGGTGGGGTGTGCTGAGCTCTTCCCCCTCCTGTGACCCTAGTACACACCTTCCCCGATGCTGAGTCCCCCTGAACCATTAGGACTACTGAGCTTTATTCAGCAAACATTTGTGGATGCCTACAGGGCAGATGCTCTGCTAAACTCTGGCGGTGCAAAGATACGGAGTCACTCCTTCCGTTGCAAGAATGCCCAGGACCATTGTAGATTTCCTGACCCAAGCAGGAGTTAATTGTACAACCAGGCATTACGAGGGGCATGATCCATAATTGTCACCAGGGAGCTTTTCCAGCTATATGTCTATAGCTTTGTGACCTTGGACAAGTCACTTCATTTCCCTAAGCCTGGATTTCCTCCTTCTCACAGCAGAGAAGATATCAGAGTGAGGAGCAGATGAGATGGCATATGTAAAATGCTTACGGCTATGCCTTTGGCTGCGCCTTTTAGAAGGAGCCATTGCTGAGTATGGAAGATACTGAACTGTAGCATGCATGCTTGCATGAATCAGTCTGCTGAGTTATTTTAAGTTTGCATCTGAAAATAAAGGGTGGATTGCTGTCCAAATATAAAAGAATTGGATCCAGGCTCTAAAAGGATGTTTGCTGTTCTTTAGCAAAATACCATTCTTCTTAAGTTTCATTCAATCATTCCACAAAAATCTGAGCATCTGTTTTGTCCCAGGCACTGTGCTTGTAATGGGTGTACAACAGCAAACAGAACACTTGCTTTCTGCTCATATCAGGCTGACACTTGGACAGGGAATGTAGACGTTAAATAAATAGAAGTGTGACGATGGCCATATAGGGGGAAGCCTGCTGTGTGTTTTAGTATTTAACACCTGCTATGTGTGTTAATATTTAAAATGTATCTTGGGGAAGGTCTTTCCATCTAAAAATAAGAATTTGTCCTTTTGCCTGCAAATAACTCCTTTCTCTATAGGCAGGCAGTAGGAATCCTGTTCATGTTTTGAGTGAGAGGTTCTGTTATTTGGGAAGAGAGCAGGTTCACAATTGAAAGTAAGCTGGAGGGGGCGCCTGGCTGGCTCAGTCGGTGGAGTGGTGGAGTATATGACTCTTGATCTCAGGGTCGTGAGTTCAAGCCCCACACTGGGTGTGGAGCCTACTTAAAATAAAAGAAAAAAAAAGTAAGCTGGAGATGATGCAGAAGAGACACTATATATTGGGTTTTCCTTGGCTCGTGCATTGAGGTGGTTCGGGGAAAGTGGTTGTGTGCCAGTGGAAAGGTGTTTTAAAGAAGTTGCCCCAAAGTGACCCCCAAGTTCAGGTAAACTGTATTGTGTACATCTTTAAAACTAAATGTAAATACGCAAAGCTCACAGCTCTGTTCTTTCATCTAGACCAGAGCTGTCCTATAGAACTTTATGTGATGGTGGAAATGTTCTATATCTTCCCTGTCCAGTAAGGTAGCTGCTTAGCCGCGTGTGGCAATGGATCACCTGAAATGTGGCTAGTGGGATGAAGAGATGAATTTCAGGCTTTACTTCATTTTCAATTAGTTTACATTTGAAGAGCCACTTGTAGCTTGTGGCCACTAGACACTACAGATCTAGACAGAAGATTAACCGACAAAACTCTTTCCTCCTGAAGTATGTGTTTATTTTGATAAGGGTAACTAAGACTTGTACATTTCATTTTCCCTGTCCTGTTTACGGCTAATAAAGGGGGCATACAGATTTTTTAAAAATGCAACACAGACCAGCTGTCTAATTGCACACATCTTCTGAGCTGTTAGCCTTGATTACTGGCAAGTACTGACTATTCCCAATAACCTAGGAACTATAAAACAAGCAAGTCATCTTCTATAACTGAATACCAGTGGGTTTCTTGGTTGAGAGAAAATAATCAGGAAGATCTGTATGGTTCTATCAAGTGACTGTTGATTCATGGACATTCAAAAAGCTTTTGTAAAAATAAGCTAGATTTTAGAAATTTTGAAACAAAATTGAAACTCTCATCTGAGTTTAAAATTTTAGTGGACTTTATTTTTATTTCTTCTTTTGGTTCATCTGTGGGTCCCCCCCCCCCGCTCCTGCTTTGTTGTTTCATCAGGTTGGAAGAATAAAGCCCCGCTGGTCAGTTTCAATTTTATTTAAATTCATTTTGTCTTCATTCCTTCTAATCTAGCACAGTCCTGTGTTATATTGAGATCAGAGTGCTTCAGGGAAATGTTGAAATATAAAAACATTTTCATGAAAACATTTCCACTTACATTTAATTTTTCTTCTCAATAGAAAAATATTTCCAACTTAATCCTCCCTCTCCCCTCTTGAAATGAATTGCATACTTTAGAAATAACATCAATCCACCCAAGTACGCAAGGACAATCTCAGCCATTTAATGGAGATATAAAGACTCAGACCATGGTGAGGTTCCGAGGCACAGACTGCTTTTCAGGATGCTGATAAACACGGGCGAGGCTCTCACGGGGCCCTGGCTTCTCCACACAGCAGCTCTGCAAAGCAGTGCAGCACTTAGCTCTGGGCCTGCCACGCAGAAATCTCTCACTCCATCTTAACCCATCCTCATCGTAGAGCTTTATTTTGAACAACTCGTGAGTGTCTGCCAAGGCAATAGATGTTGAAACTTCCTCTTTCCAAACCCCATCTGACATCTGGGACCAGCTATGCTAGAAGGTGTTTGAACACGCCATGGAGTGGCTCACCCCTTTCTTAAGAAAATAATGGCAAGCAAGCCCCTCTCAACAGCAGACTTCTGCCTTCATGCTGCCCTTTTATTTTGTTGTTGTTCCTTAGTAACTTCAGCTTACTAGGAAGCCCAGCCTCAGGGGAAGGTGAGCCTCTCTTCCAAGGAGAAAGCAAAAACTCATGTCCGATATAGAAACACATCCAGCCTGAGCTCCCCTGTGCTATCATTCCAGTTACAAAGCGCATGAATATTGGAGTCTGTTTGAAAATTCAGCACATTCACCTGCATTAGGATGAGCAACACGCAGATTGAGAGCTTACTATACACTGGTCAGGCACATTTCATTTAGTTTTGGCAATAGCCAGTGGGGTAGATCCTACCAACGTTGTTTTGCTGTTGAGCAAATGGAGGCCTGGAAAAAAATAAATTGTGCATTGTCACACACCTGGTAGGCAGGAGAGACAGGAACTGAGATATACACAATTTTAAAATGTGTGCTTTCTGACACTCTATTGCATCTACAACCTTTGCACCCAGACATTAGAGAAAATTTTCGGTCGTATGTTTTCTCCTAAGAAAGAACTCATTAAAACAAAAATTTCCAGGGGGCACCTGGGTGTTGCAGTTGCAGTCCTTTAGGCATCCAGCTCTTGGTTTTGGCGTGGGTTGTCATCTCAAGGTCGTGAGATTGAACCCTATGTCACTCCCCCCGCTGAGCACAGAGTCTGCTTGGGACTGTCTCTCCCCCTCCCCAGTGCTCTCTCTCTTTAAAATAAATAAACAAAATCTTTAAACAAACCAACAAGCAAAAATTCCCAGTTTTTAAGATTTGCCCTCAAAAGGGGAAAGAAACTCATGGGTCCCTAAAACAATAAGAAAATGAAAAGTAATTTTATTGTATCTAGGTTATCTGATTAAGTTATGGTTTTTGTGACCCTGTAAAATTTTCAAACAATATCAAGATATCTAGAATTTTTCCTTAAAAAAAATGAATCGCTACTTAAAATATACATGTTACATTCTTCAATGCATTGATTAACTGTAGATTCAGGTATAGGATGTTATAGCCAAAATATAAGAATGTGTGTGTGTCCGAATGAATTTCCTCAACAAGGAAAAAGAGCTGACAAACTCAGGAATTGTAGTTCTGTTGGCCTTTTGTATGGTTAGATTTTTGTGCAGGCAAAGCTGCATGCCTTGGTCATGGGTACTGGTTCTTCAAGTATTGACTGCTCTTTGATTCCTGTCTGATCAAAGACTTTGGCCAATTTTGGTTGCTCAGATCCAAAAATAAGTTAAAACTTCTTGGAGACTCAGTACATAGCATTGACCGCAAAAGTCCAAACACTTGTGCAAGCTTTCCTGGTAGAAATGTGGGCACCTTAGGTACAATTTGTCAATTGAAGAAGTATCGTAAAAGTGTAAGGATAGCTGAGGCTACCATTGTCACGCACACTGTCATGCTGGAAATCTTTCCAACATAAATTATGTACTCCTTGGCTTCTTACTCTAGTGAATATAATTTAATCATTTCTGGCCAACTTGGGGACATCAGTGAACGTATATTGTTGTATTATGCATAATACGGTGATAGCCTCAAGGTGTAATGGGAGGCAGTTTGCCCTATATTGGAGACTTCTTGTGTTTATTGTGTTCTTATGGTTTGGTTTTATCATTTTTATGTCCCCATTTCTGTTATAGACTTACTGCAGTAAGACAAGAAAGCTCTATCAGCCCCTCTGTAGGTGATTATTTGCTGCGGGTACTTTGAAAATGGATTTCCAAGCTTGTTAGAATTGTATGTAAGAGTAAATAGGCTGTGAGATCTAGCTGCTTTCTGGTCCTCAGCCGTGTACCCCAGAAACGTATTTTCACTGGACAGTTGAGTTCTGGAAGGGTGTGGTACACATCTGTGAGAAGTGTTTCTCCTTCACATGATCTTTTTTTTTCCTTTTACTTTCTCTCTCTCTCTCTCTCTCTCTCTCTCTCTCTCTCTCTCCCCCTCCCTGCATCCATGTCTCTGTTTCTTTCTCTCTCATAATATGACAGTTGCTGGAAGAATTAAAATGAGTAGAACCCATTTATCCACATGGGAGCCACTTGTAGTGGTCAAAAAACATTTTCAAAAGGCATGCAATCCCCACTGTCCTAGACCAGTCCTCAGCACCTAGTGTAATGACACAGGATTTTAGATGGGTCCCCCATATTTCATGTTAAGGTAAATATGCTTGAAGAGGCTTTCCCAGTCAGCTTGGTATGGTTCTTCTCTCCCCTACTGTTAGCTCCCACTCCTGGTCTTTCTCCTTGGCCCACACTGACCCTGCTAGGGAGACTCCTCCATTCACTCCACTTCCAGTGCTTCTGTACCTCTGTTTTATGAGTTCTCTTGGGCCTCTCCAGCAGTCCCTCCTTCTAGGGGATACCAGCTTTCCACCCTCAACTCCACTGGACACCTCACCATTGTCACAGGCTCTGCAAACCAACTTTATTTTGATTTGGGAGGCAACGAGGTATAACAGAACCTGGATCTCGGAATGAAGCCCACTGGCATCCATGTGCCCCCTTGGCCCCCTGACCTTGGCCGAGTCAGCCCAGCCACAGAGCCTAAATCTCCTGCCTGCAGAAAGGAGTTTGTATGGATTCGGTCGGTGCATTCTCAGTGCAAAGCAGGGGCTTACTCCGCGCCACCTTCCTCCCTTTCAGTATTACTGCTTCTGTGTGGCACAGGTCGTTACAAGGGCTGACAGCAAATTTCTCATATTCTCTTGCACACCCTGCCATGCTGGGAACACCCGAGCAAAAATGGTGGCTTTCGCACTTTCATTTTTGGCCTCAATTTTCTATTATTCCCCAATGAGGATCATTTCATTTGAGACCAGTATCTGGGGGGAGAAAAAAAGTAGATCAAGCTTTTCAGATGAGATTTTAGTGCAGTCCTGACAAACTCTTTCTATTGCCTTCGCTACCACATAGTGGCGGTTCCGGAAACTGTAAGGCTTGCAAGTGCTGGGCAATTGCTGCCAGTGGAGTGAAGATTTTGCTGTTGAAGGAATTTGATCCCTTTTCTGCATAACCCAAAGAAAGCAGAAGCCCACATTATCTGTAGCAGATGACAGAGTGTATGTCCGGTTCAGAAAAAGACATTTCTCACTACATTTTCAAGCAACAAGGCAGACTTGCTGCAGGGCTCTAGGAGAGTCCTGTGCAGTGTCCTGGTGTCCATTTTGTTGTTTTCTTTTTGCATTCCTCAACCATCTTACTTCCTACTTCCACCCCATTGGAGGATATTTCAAAGATAAATGAAATGTTAGGCAGTACGTCGGAATGGATAAGGCCCTCGACATGCACACCTGGTCCTCTACCAGCCTCATTTACCCTCGAGCAACAACACTGCTCTAGGAATCATCAATAGAAAATAGAGATTTGCCTTGCCTCCAAATTAGGGGTTTACCTTACATATGAAACTCCGTCAGGGACTTTGTCCGTGAGGGCAGGGTCGTTAGTAACTGGTTCAAGTGGAAAGCACACAAAGTTAAGTCCCTCATTCAGAGTGAGATTTTGGAGTTACCAATGATTGATTGGCATATATCCTGGTAGCTCACAAGTCTGTTCAGTTGATGGCTATGCTATGCTTCCTTTATCTTTATGAACTTTCTAATGACTTTCAGTTTTTAACTTTGCATTTTGAAATCATTTCAGACTTTAAAAAAGGTACAGAAATACCACGAGTTTCTGAACACCGTTCACCCAATTTCCCCAGACGTCAACAGCTTCCTTAACCACCATAGGTCTATCAAAACCGTAATGTTAACACTGACACAGTACTATGAATTTCCAGACTGGGTGCAGATTCCATGGGTTTTCTCCACTGATGTCCTTTTTCTGGCCCTACATCCAACAGAGGATCCCACCTCACATTTGTTGTCCAATCTCTTCAGTTCCCTTGACTCGAGGACGTTTTCTTCAGTCTTCCTTGGTAGTTTTTACCACCTTCACATTTTTGAAGAGCATGGACCGGTTATTTTGTAGAATGTCCTTCTCTTTGTGTTTGCTTGTGATTAATTATAGCAAGACTTATGGTTTTAGCAAGACGATCCTGGAAGTGCCCCTGTGCCCTTCCCAGGGCATCCTATCAGGGGACACACGATGCCCGAATGTTTCATTTCTGATGCTGTTAATTTTGATCCGTTGGTTAAGGTGGTCTCTGCAAGTGCCTCCGCTGTTACAGCTCTTAACCTTGGTAATTAGGAAGCATCCTGCAGGGGTAGACACTTGAGACTACCCTGTTCATACTGCTCCTCATTATTCTTTCACCTCCTAATTTTAACATCCATTACTGTGGTGTTTGCCAAATGGCGATTTTTCTATTTCTGTTTTCTACACTTAGTAATTGGAATTCTACTTGGAGGACTCCATGTATTTTTAAAATGAGGAACATAAAACTTTTTAAATAGCAGTGGCAGCTCCACTTTTTCTGGGAGGACAATTATGAATGACATGAAGCAGAAAAATATGCAGAAGCCTGAGAAATCTCAAATATGAATGTTATTCAAGATGCCGTTGCCATATTTATTTCCCTTCAGAGGAGGTGAAGTAGAGGGAGGGAGATCTCAACTGCCCCCAAAAAAGTCCCATTAGTTTTGGTCCTGGCAGCAAGTGTCTCTTGCTTTTGAGGACTAAGAGAGAGAACACAGTTGGAAGACTCTCTGGAGCACAGCCCTGAATGTTTTGGATGAGTTAGGAAGGCTTACGCCACCATAAGAACTTTAATTAATAGTATGAAATTTTATCTCTGAGCTTTTTAAGCTGTAACTGAAAGGAGTGCTCAAGGTACGGTTTCCTTCTTTTAGAATATTCACTGTTACTGACATGGCAAACAATTTGGAGGAACCCCCCCTTTAATTAAATTTCAGCAGCCCCAAATCAGATTCGTGTGAAGAAATCATTATTTTGAATTCTTTATCACCAAAAGATTAAACTTACTCTCTACTCTTAGAGGTTTTTTCTTTTTTTAATTGGGCTATTTTATTCTCTGATTGTGATCCTACCAATGTGATTTTCTTTAAATATTCTTTTTATTTATACCTGAAAAGGATGAAAAAGTATATATATTCCTCAACTATATAATACTTTATCAAAGCTCGCACATCTATTTGAAAGAATTGTGAATGGCTACATTTTTAAATATCCTACAGTGCATTCCCAGTTTGTAATTTTATCATCACACTCAGGCAAGATCACACTCGGTACGCTAAATTCCTGTGGCCCTCTTTTTTTTCCCCCTCACTGCTGTTTGTAACTCCTCACGAATTAAATTTTAGGGGCTTGAAATGTTAACTGTTACATTAGGAAAAGGAAAAAGAACCTCACACACCCCAAACTCTATGTAGAGGCTCGTCAGATTCGGCCAGGGCACTCACATTTACCAGAGCACGTAGGACTTTTGACCGTAGAACTCATGGTTATGAATTAGGTAGGACGCTACGAACGGCTTTTAAAGGTGTGGCTGCAGAAAACTCGGGATTCCGAGGACTGAGCTGCTTTCGTGTTTGCAGTGCCTTGGCGAACGTTTTAAAGTTGGCGGCAGAGCAGAGCGAGCTAGGTAACATTTATGCGAGTGTTCTTTCTAGCCCCCAAGCCCAGTGCTGGAAAAAGTTACAGCACATCCGTTAAAAGTTACAGCACGTGCTCCTGCGGCCCGAGTTCCGGAACGGCGCCGCCGCCACCGCGCGGCCGACCCTCGTGGCGCCCGCGGCAGGCCAGGCA